ATGGTTCCCAAGGAATAGGAGTGACAGGAAAACTACTACCACAGCCAGAAAACCAAAGATAGAATGGACCAAGGTTGAATAAGTCCCTCCCAAGTGAGAAACAAAGTGAAGGGCAAATCTGTATGGAAGTCCTGCATCTCCACTGACTGGAGAAATATTTTGCTGTAGATGATCACCTGATCTGATTCTGCTTACAGTTAAAGCCTTTACAAAATCTGGTAATGCTAACAAGGAAATTTACAGGTGTGCTTAGGTTAAAGTTAGTTATATTTGCTACAGCTGTGTTGGCTATCAAACAAGTGTGAGGTCCCTTTCTTAATGTGAAACACCTGGCTAAGAACCAAGGCTTGCAAAAAAACAAACAAAGAACAGTAAGAAAAATATGGGAAAAAAAGGAAAAAAAACCCCCATCAGCAACAACCCAACCCTCACTAAAAATCACATCAAAAACCAAATGGAATTTTGGTTGAGTACATTCATCAAAATAAGAGCTACCTGTGGGGGATTTTTGGGTTTTTTCCTGCATTGTTACACCTCTATGGCCAGCATAGAAGATGTAGGGTAAAATCAAGCCAGCGTCACTGTCATCTGGATGGATGGGAAAAACCTTCATCTGACTGAACTCCTACATTGATTCTGGTGTGGGGGCTTGTTGGCTGACAGATTGCCAATTCCTAAAATGAGAATTGTGTGAAGGATGACAGCTGTAGGTTCACGGGTTGAGGGGCTTCAAGGAGTAGTAAAGCAGCAACCAATGTCAACTTTTGTTTTACCACTACGGGGAAATTAGAAATGAACTCATCTTGATCTAAAAAGTAAGTACCTTTTGTTATTAAGGTATGTAGGGCAGTGGTCACATTAAAGAGCCAGACACAAATTATCCCTAATCCAGAAGGCATATTTTTGTGCTCCTGAGACAGATCTTGGCAACAAGATTAGAGGAATAGGTTTTCATTTCTAGATTTGAACTAAAAAGCTCTGTGTATCTGAAATACTAGGTGTTTTGGTTGTGTTTTCTCTATTTAGTGCTCTTTCAAAGAAATTTAATGGTGGCATCAGCTCAGCAAATTTCTTGTCCGAAAGAGAATTCAAGGTGTGTGTTTCAATGTGGTGATGAAGAGAACATGTAAAAGTCTGAAAAGGAGTGTGCATTGACTATGGTAAAACTGAATGTTTTAATCAGCACATGAGCTAATAGTTCATTTTTGGAATCCTATAGCCAATGAAATGGTAAAAAAAAGCAAGCTATCATAGAGTTTTACTGCACATGTTCTGCTGACAAATGGCCTTTGCATATGATACTTTCAAATGGTTTAGTGAGAACATGGTTCCTGCTACATTTTACCATTTTGAAATACATTTTACCTTTCTTCCTTCACAGAAGACTATTTAGCTTTACAAAAGAAATAAACATTTGAAATAATTTTTTTGTTTGTGCAACAGTGGAAGTTGCAAATTATCAACAGGATGACACAAAATTTCTGTCACTCAAATTTCTTTTCCTGAAATGTTGCAGGTCTATTCAAAGCAGGAATATTGGAAACATATATTTAGGATGACTAAATTTAACAATACAATCCAGAGAAAAACTACCCCTAGGTGATCTGCTTTTTATAAAATACATAAATATTTGTTGAGAATTAGTTGTAGAAACAATATGTCTTATTCTTCTTTTTCCCTTATGTAATAACATTGTGGTCCTGAGGGATGACAAGAAAAAATAGTTTCATTTACTAGGGCTTGAATTTTAGTGGTTTTAAATCTATAATTTTGTGACAGAATGGCACAGCAATATTTTCTATTTGCAATTTATGTCCAAGGCAACAAGAAAAAGTCTAGCAGCATTGTTGATACTATAGATCTTTCCATAGCTTTCCATAGCTGTTTGTGTTTTGCTGTTCATTCTTAATACTTTCCTCCCATAAATAATTGATACTGTAACATTTATATATTGAAATCTGCAGTAATGTTTTTCTGAACAAGTGATCAAGTCCATGCTCTAGAACAAAAGCATCTGGATATGGACTGGCTGCAGATATAAGACTCATCACCCCATACAAACACTACAGAACAACCACTCCTGTATAAAGACCTTACAGGACAAGCCCCTTCTGCAAGAGACACAGTGATTTAATTCTTATCTTACTTCAAAGATGCAAGATCAGGTTCTGTGAAGTAATAGTTTGAACATCCACTAGCCGTTCTGGATACACCTATTGTTCATCCAAATCCAATGTTTAGATGTTGCAGACCATTTTTAGTGCATTATTGTTGTTGATTTTATTTCATAGGCCTGGGAGGATGGGAATGGTGGTGTAAAGATATTTATTCATCATATCATGCTTGAGGGATGTTAGCTTGTACTTACCTAGCAAACTGCACCTACAAAGGCAAGTGATGCCATGCTTGGGAATTTTGAAATAGCAATGAGAACAGAGGACTGAGATCTTTGCAAACCAGGAATAGATATTTGAATGAACTGTTCTGCAACACCTTAATTTGCAAATTTTGAATTTCCTGTTGTATTTTAATGTTCATGAATCCTTTTGTGCTACACACTGTTCAGACACTGAAAAATAGACAGGTAATACTTCAAAGAAATTATATGTAGCTCATATTCTATAACGTGGTGGGGGTTTTTTTTTTGATAACTGGGTAAAATAAACAGATAGTATTTTTCAGTGCTTTAGTAAGCATTCAACATATCCATGTATAGAGAATATTGTGTTGTTTATAGCTATAATGCTATTAGATTTTAGTGAAATATTAGCTACAAATAAGGAGTGGAGGGAACCTCACTTGATATATATATCCCAGGAATCACTTTTTATGGTTTTATATATAAAGAATCCAAGAGAACCTCAGCATAACCTCCACAAAGAAAACTCTTATTGTTATGTTTCATCATTGAGAAATGTTTATGGGTCCCATAAGATTTCACTCAGATGTTTAAATAATTTGTGTAACCTTTTGGTCATGTAATTTATTTGATTTATCTGAAATGATTGTAGACTAGAAATTTCATCAGCTCTGCTTTGTTTGAGAGTTTTCTCATAAAGCAATGGAAATAAAATAGTTACCAAATTGTATTAGGCTTAAGATTATTGTAAGCAGCTCCCACAACAACTAGACAAATTGTGGGTTTTCTCCTAATTTCATCTATATTGTGTTTGTCCTAGATGCTTGGTATAACTTGATATGAAAAGGCAGAGTAAGGATTTGCCTGAAAAAAAGCACATCTTTTTGAAGTTGAGGAAATTTGCAACAGCACCTGCATGAAAGCACAAGGGGATCACAGGGAGACACCTCTGGGAGCCCCCACGTCACAGACAGGCACAAATGCCTCCATGTGCTCTCTCAAGTATGGGGACTTAGAGTCTGTTTCTCACAGTAATTTTTTTGCATACAATTTTTTTTTCCTTTATGATATTAGCATTAATATCCAGCCCAGTTACAGGTTAAAATAGTATTAATAGTACCTTATGTATTTACCAATCAAGCATGACTTTAGTTAGCAAGCTACTGCATGCAGCCCTGAACAAATTCTGGAAAGTTTCCTGTCTCTGTGTTGACACTTGAGGTGCCTGGTTATATTTTGAATATGGCACTGGCTGCTGTACCCTCCTGTGGGTGTATTTTCTTCTCTCTTGGTGCATATGGACAAAGTGCTGAGCAGTGAAACCATGGAGGCATGTAACTACAGAACTGGCAAAAGCTGGCCTTCTCTGTCCTCAACCAGCCCCTGGGATGAGGTTTTTTAGGATGTTTTGATTTATATGGGAGAAGAGAGATCACTAATTAAAGGATTGTTTAGTACTAATGACAGGGCTCGAGCAAGTTAGAGGGACATTTTCCAGAGAGCAGCCCTAAATTGTACCCCTTCTTGTCAAGCCATCAGGGGAATTTGCACAGCATATAACTTAGCTTTTCAGTTCAAAGGAGCACACACAAACAAAGGGTGGTCCCATTCATGGTTTCCTCAGAATTTCATGTATGAAAAACGAGGACATTGTTGAAATAAAAGAATTTGGATGCGATTATTTTCAAAACCTGGTACAAAGCAGAAGCAGTCTCAGTAACGTCAGAGGAGCTATTCTGATATAAAATAAGTGTGATATATTCTGATATAAAATAAGAGGAAGACTGAAGGCAGAACTGTCAAATTAGTTTTGTTTATTCTTATAGTGATAAAAGCTCATGACTACTCATCAGGCTTTGAAGAAAGACATTCCTAGTGAATTTATTAGTGAAAAGCAGGTGCTTGAGTTTGTGGTCTTCCCTAGGCAAACATTTTCTGCTAAAATTCCTGAACGACTCACAGATGAAAGGATTCATTCTGGTAATAATATACTCATGTGCCTGGCAATAATGATCATTTTAGACTGTTGAGAGTCTATGAGGATCAACAGGACAAATTCTTCAAAAGAAGAAAGCACAGTTCAGCTATGATAAATTAAAGTCTGTTTCCTCTTTTAAGATGAGTTATTACAAATAGGAGGAGAATATTAGATGGTGATATTAAACTTGAATGTTACTGTTTTGTTTTTTTCACTTATAAGCATATTTTTTGTCTTGAAAACCTATCCAACTGAGTGGTTTTGTGCTATTTCCATTTCTTCCCCATCTTTTAGCACAGTCTTCCTTTGGTGGCTCTGCATGGAATAGAGGCTTCCTATTCTGATGTAGGGCACAGAAGCAGTGAAAACTCTCCTACATACAGGACACTTAAATTCTTCTGTAATGCTGTAGGAAGGAATAACTCATCGGGCTATTAACAGCTAGTAAAAACAGAGTAAAATCCTTATATCCTCTGCTTTTGATTGGCCAGTGCAAAATTCCATATAGTGTCAGTATAGAGGAGAGGAAAGCAAACTGATTACTTTAATTAAACTGTCCTTGGAGGACAGGAGGTTGCTGTTCCTTGGTCAGCTCAGCTTTATCTTCTTATCTGAATTGTGTCTACACAGATCTGCACAAATCTGCTGAAAGTGAAGCCTGGTGACTGAAGTACGAGTTCAAACTCGATTCATCTTGGGTGCATCTGTTTCGTGGTAAGTGTTTTGATGAGTGGGAACGGGAAATGTTAACACCTTGTAAGATGATTTGCTATGTGAGAAAACTCCACTTCTCAGCAAGATAAATAGCAACCCATCCAACTTTGCAACTGCCAAAGAAGTCTCCCAATAGCCTGGGGAGCAGAGAAGGTAGGTTGAACTCCAGTGTACCTAAAAATAATGCAGGAGAGCTGATGATTTGTCACAATGCCTACGGATTACCAGAAGTTTCATTCATGGCCAAAAAGCCTTCGAGACTGAAGCAGTTATCTCTTAGAAGTACCTGTCAAAGACACTGAAGTCTATTTATCCTTTACTACATTTTAGGAACATCTTGAATTGTCATATTCCACCTGTTCTCACAACCACAATGTTTTTCACTAATCAAAACCCATCAGATTTGTAGCCTCAAGGCACGATCAAGGTGTCAAAAAGAATTTGATTTTTACCACTTTATATTCCTCTGAAGTGCAGATGACTCTGACTTGGCAGCAGTATTCCATGCAGAAGCAAATTCTCAGGGCTTCCAGGTACGATAAATGGTCCTCAGCGGAGAGTTTGTGTAATATATCTGGATTTAACATTGATGAAGTAAGCCAGAAAGATTACACTTTGCAATCACAGAGTGTTTGATGAGAGAAGACTAGGAGATACAAAGCATAATTAATATAACAAAGAACAGGTACATTTGGAATAAAATAACTTTTTTTTTATAGTTAAATATATCCTTTTAAGTAGTATGGGTGAAGCTCTTGCTCAGCTGTCTGTAAATTTTATTTTGAAAAGTCATTCAAGCCTCAACCTCAGCAAAGTCAATAAGCCTCTTGACCAAGAGCCAAGAGTTTTTTGGCTGTGACTGTCAGAAGAGACTGGATATCTCTTCTAACAGTCTGTAGAAAATACCTAGGCTGTGATATCAGACACAGACTTCAACTTCTAGGAGTCTAGAAGAAGTCAAAGACAAGCTATTGCCTCCATATTCATTGATATTTTGAAGTAGACAGAATTTGTAGACAGAATGCACAGAATTTTCTGCATTTGAAGTTTTTGACAATATTTATTAGTATAGACAATTTTGGTGAAAATGACTGTTGTTGAATCTTTTATGCTTTCTACCTACTTAATAGCTCTCATAAAACCTGCACTTTGAAATTTTTTAAATCCCCTGCAGTTCCCTGTCCATCAAATACATATTTGCAAGAAGGTAATTTCTGATAATAGTGTATTTACTCTACAGTTGATCTCACTGCTACATGTATTCCAAATCATTAATTATACCTTTTTCGCAGCACCTAATTTCCAGAGGCTAAAATTTCATGGGAAGCTTTATTATCAGCATATAACATTTCTTCTCTTTGCTTGATATTTGCTGGTGCCATTTTCTGCCTCCTTTACGAGAAATACCAAGGGTGCTATTTTGCTTCAGTTACTTGTTTATTTTTGAGCTAACTAAATGTTTAGAGTTTACAGAAGAGAAAGAAATGTCTTCAAACAGCTTAATTGATAGCATAAATGCAGCTCAATAACCCTTATTCCTGTCCCTAGCATTTTGCCCGAATGTGTATTTTTGGCTATTGAAGCAATTGAATTTCTCCTTTCCTCAGAGTTTTCCAGTATGAGGTGTCTAGATGTTAATGATAGAGCACTACAGGAATCTTTCTTCCAGAAGGTATATCCCTCAAACAGCTTTGAATCATACATTTTAATCTTTCTGGGTTCAGGTGGTCAGCAGGCTATCTATTTCAGCCCCCATGCTTCATTATCTGAACATTAGAGTAGTGCTGGAAAGAGGTAGACCCCCAATGAATCTTATGAAAATATTGCAGTGTTCAAATGCATTATATTATTGGTATTAATAAGATGAAAAAAATTAGACAGTACAAAGCACGCAATGACATTTTTCAATTCACGAAAAGAAGCTTTCTTCAGAATATATCTAAAGGAAAATATGACAGCAGGGAAACAGATCTAAAGAGAGTTTCTTTGTGAACCAAAGAGTGATGGTAAAGAATGTAGAGCCTGGGTTAAAATACGTAGGTGAAATGGCTACATATTTCACATAAACAGAAGAAAAGTCTGCATCAAGGTTGCCAGATGATATGTTTTCATATGGAGATGGTCTGCTAAATGAAAGTCCATCATGTTACAGAGGTGCAAAGATTCAAAGAATAATTGAAGCATTTCTATTTATGAAAGCACATAGCATTTCACTCTCTTTAAAAAAGGCTGGAGCCCTCTTTACTGGGAGGGATCATATTGCAACAAAGCAAAAAAAATGACAGAGAACTTAAGTCAGAAAATGGGACTAAAGACTATAAAAAAAAATTGTTTCAGTTTAGCACAGTGCACATAATACAAAGCTGAGGAAAATGTGTATGGTACCTAACACATTTAATGTGGTTAGTAACGAGCTTCTGGATATTTGTGTTGGATAGCAGTACTGGGAAAGGTGGTGTGTAATTTCTGTCTGCCAGGGAAGGCAGAGAGGCTCTGTCCCCTGTACTGGCAATTGAGTCACTCCTGAGGCTATGAGACCTTTCCCATCTTAGCTCCAGGAAAGTGGCAAGGGGAGCAAGGCCAGTTCTTTAGCAAATCATTTGTCTTTTTGTAGTCATTAAATCCTGCTGTTAAAGGCAACTGCTGGAACAAGAAGGCAAAATCTTAGCATATTAACAAAACAGCCACTGTTTCAATGCCAATAAGCAATAGCAAGTCCTGGGTCACCAGCTTTCTTGTATTCTTCTATGTGACAAAGGATGATGAAAATGTTTTCTTATAGATTGCTCTACAATGAAAACTTTTTCTGGCTTGGCCAATTCCATATGTATTTCTTCACAGTGCTTCTCTAACAATGAAAGCCTTCCTGTTGAAGCCACTATGGCATAATTTGAGAAACATATGTAAGCAATACTTATTGGAAGTTCATTATTGTCAACAGGAGTTGTGAGTGCAGCACAATGTTTTCTTAGAGTATCTATAACAGTGAAGCATGCCAGACTTCAAACAATGAGGAGACTTCAACTAACCAGTATTTGTTCTTATACCAAATATCTTTTAAGAGTTTCTCAAAATCCTTAAATGGTTTAGGAGGCAAAAAGTATACCTGTTGCAATTTCAAAGCAGTTTAATCGTATTTGTAAATGCTATCTGCTCAGCTATATGGTTTGGTATTAAAATTCTACTGCTCTTATCTGAAAAGATACCAGCACTGTAGAATAGCCAGTACTCCCCAGTACATGTGAGGATAACTCTTAATGTCTTCTGTCTCTTCTGTCACTGTTGAATGTACTAGTAAAGAAGAAAAGACAAACATAAACATTCCATAAAGAAGCTTACACAAAGCTCAGGCCTCTAATTCAACAGTTCATATGTAGGTACTCCCTTACTGAATGGTGCAATGAAGAAAATAATGCAGCAGAGAAGTCACAGAATGTGATAAAATACAGGAATATTTTATGATATACTAATAGGACTGATTCAGTCAATAAATTGTACCTAATGGTGCAGTTGCTCATCTTTCAGTATCATTGAGGAGAGTTTTACCAAAGTAACTTTATTTAGTCCACAGAATTCCTACAAAATCAGATTAACACAAAGGGCCTGTGCAAATGAGTTATCACAAGTCCTTTGCACTTCACAGTGTACAGCAAGTACACACACTCATACATCCCAACCACTGACTGGGCAAGAAACTGGACAAAAATAATGACTATTGACATTAGAAATTGGAAATCTTTCTTTTTCTGTTTGCCTGCTATTGAGTGGGGTAAAATGGCAATCCCAGCTATTGGTGTGTAAGTATAACTACTAATTCCACTGCTGTGCTGAACTGGGGGCAAAATGGGAATGGCTTTGATCAACGTAAATAGTGCTTTGCTGTGCTTCACACAGTCACAATATTTACCCTGCTTGTAGCCTTCCCTGGTGACAAACCTAAAAGAACCCATATATACTAAGCATACTTTAATAAGGGCTAAGTTGTATTTTATTATATATATATGGAAACTACATAAAAGCCTCTGTCGAAGAGCTTGGGTCATGAACAAAAGGTGGCACCAAAGCTAAAGGTAGAGGAGACAACCTATTTCAGACCCAGCTGGAGTGGTGGAAGTCTGTACTGACCTTTTGCTAGAGGGTAATGCTCTGAGAAGGTCAGCCCATGGACCACAATGTGAAAGCACTCCTTTGTCCACCACAGTGTAAATGTAAGGAGCTGAGTGTCAATGGTTGTGGTACGGGGAAGTGTCTGGGTTTTCAAGGCAGAAGTGATACCTGTGTGCCCTTTTGCAGCCCCATTTTCTATGCACTGGTTGCAAACACAGGAGGTGGGTGGTGGCCGGCAATCCAAGTCATGTATTTTAGAAGTAGTCAGGAGACAGGGAGATAAATCTACCCTGTTCCTGGATGAGAGGAAAGAAAATTCTCTTGTAAAAGAGATTGTTGTTATTGTTGTAGTTGGAGAAAGAGGACTTTCCTCTAATAGAGAAGCTGTTAAGGAACAGGCTTGGAAATGGTGAGGAAGGAAAATGATTGTTTTCCTTTTGTCTTCTAGTTCTGGGGAAGTAATTCTTTATGAGAATTTTTTTTTTTTAAATGGCTAATCTATTCAATTATTATTATATGTAATTCTTCTCAGCAGTTAAGGTATAATGTCCCTTTTTTATAAATTGAAATATGATGCTGTTAAAGTGCTACTTAACTAAGTTTACTGGCAATATTACTATTACAATCATTTGAACAAGACAAAAATCAAAATTTCCAAGAAACAAAATCGTAGTGTGTTACAATACGAGGTTATCAATTATATTAGTCATTTACCAAAGGTTTACAGTTGGTGAAAGGTCTCTCTGTCTTGAGGAGCAACCTCAAGAGGTGTCCCAGCTCAAGGGGAGATCACCATAAACACCAAGGAAGTCAGTCGAAAGTTAGAACACATTGGGCTTCTTTGCCCCTTCTTAAACTTGGTAACAGAAGAAGGGATAAAAGAGCTTGAACAC